CCAACTCTGCATTGGCTAAGTCAGCATCCTACAGTGTACAACTGACATAGTGTGATTCCTTCATCCACTGAGTGGACACTTGGCACTCCTTTAGTGGTGGTTGTCTCACACACCTCCCGTCGCCACTAACATATGGTGGCCTGTCCTTATCTTTTTCTATTAAGGAGGCGGGACAGTATCTGGCCTTTGGTGGCTGGCTTGCTTCTGACAGCCTTGTGGCTTCGGGCTCCATCCACCGTGGCCTGTGTCCCCACCCGATGCCCTTCCTCCTATCGGCTGCGCCATGGCCACTGCTAGCTCTGCTGTGCCACCTGGTGCCAGGCATGTGGTGGTCCCAACTGGGAGGAATGCAGGTGGAGCCCCAAGGTGCACGTCTCTGCTTTCACAACTCCTGGCAGGGAGCTGAAGGGAGGGCTGTGGCGTGGGGCCGCCCTGCTTTGGCTCTGAACAACTGCCACACTGCTTGCAAGCAGGGGGCTCATTCTGCAACCCCACCAGCAGTAGCTGGGGTTCTGTACCCTACTCCTCACCCACGGTCACCCTCACCTGTTGGTCTGATGTTGACCCTTCTCTGGTGACCTCTCCTGTCTGGTCTTTGCCCTAGTGCCAGGCGGCCTCCCCTGGTCATTTGAATGGTTACAGGACATCGTGGGCCTGGGCACCTCAGCAGTATGGTGGGTGGTGGGCTGGCACTGGTTGGAGGCCAGAGCTGGGGACTACTTGAAGGCATCTTTCAGTGGGCTGGAAGTAGCCCACCATTCACAGGGTGCAGCCCAGAAGCTGTGGCCGAGCTGGCTTCCGCCTTTCCTCCGGTCAGATGATCCTTGCTCCTAGCAGGTGGTCTCTTCAATATGGGGTCCAGCCTGTATGAGTCTAGAGGCCCACACACTCCCTGGAGTGCCACATGGCCATGGGATGTGGGTGCTGACTGTGTAGCCACCACCCTGACCTGTCGCCTGCTCTCTCGTAGTGTCAGCTGTGCCCCTTTCACTCTGCCTTGCTGCCGAGCAGGATACCCTGGCCACCACCTGCCTTGTTCTTCAGGAGGAACATGAGGGTCTCGCCTACAAGGTACGGGCTCCCCATCTGGCTGAGTGTAGAGACGACCGGGGCCTCACATGCCGTGTGCGCATCTTCAACTTCAGGGGGAGGCTGGCCTTGCAGGAGCAGGAGGTGGGACAGTTGAGGCATGACCAGGGCCTGGGCTCCTCTCCCCTCCAGCTCTAGGCACCCCATGCCTCTGTGGAAGAAGGCGACAGCTGCCACAGTGGTGGCCGTGCCCCTGCTCCTTGGTGCCCACTACCTCATGGCTGAGACGCAGGAGAAACGGAGGATGCGGCTCGTGATGGAAGGTGTCGGGCGCTTCAGCAGGTCGGTGGTTGTGGGCCAGCTGTGATGTGACAGGCCTGCTGGCCAGGTGGTTTGTGGTCAGCTCAGGAGTGGCTGCATGTGGCTTGGGGCAGATGCCTGCCTCTTCTCCTTCCCATACCTCTGCCATCCTTGCTCAAACAGCATAGGCATCCAGGTAGAGGCCTGGGGTCCCCTCCCTCCTCAGCTGTGTGACTACTGGCCTTGGTTGGCTTTCCCATGGCCCTTTCTTCTCTAGCTTGCGTGAAGCTGGATCGCTGGCACTGCCATGCCCTCACAGCCTGAGGTGCCTTGCACCAGCCCTTGTCCATGAGCTTCAGGCACAGTGGCTGGGCCTGCCTTCCCAAGAGTGGTCCTTGGGTTTGCCAGCGGACATGCCGCTCCTGTTAGGAGGTCCTGGGAGGGATCCTCTGTCTGGGAAACCCTGGGGTTGTCTTGGTCCCCCACCTGGCTGACTGGGCCAGGGGGCACAGGCACCAGAGGGGAAGACTCTACTGCCCAGGCCTGCCTGGGTGACAACTCCAGGCGTGCTGGCTCCTGGCCTCCACCTGATGGATTGAACTGGACGGGAGGGCAGGAAGCTCTCAGCTTGAGTGGCCGGGACCCTGGGGGCAGTGACAAGCAAGCAGGAGTCCAAGGAGGTGCCAGGTGGGGGGGCCCGGGGAGGAGTTCCAGATGGGTCGGCGTGGAGGGGCCATGACAGCACTCTGCAGCGTTGGCCTGGCCGCTTGCTGGCCCTGCTCGTCTCATCCAAAAGCTTGGCTGTTCTTTTCCCTTCGGGGGTGATTTCAAACATCCAGCCAAGTTTTTCGAGCAGCACAGTTCTTTGCCTCTGGTCCACGTGATGAGCTGCCACAGGTCCGTCTCTGCAGAAGCACAAAGGGGATGTGCTGCCCGGCTGACCCGCAGATCCGAGTTCAGTCCAGGGTCACACGTAGGTGCTAACTCCGAGCTGGAACGGTGCCTTGGTGTTGTCTTACCTCTCACTGACAAGGCTTATTATTCAGAGCACACTCGGCCTCTCATGCACACCAGGGTGCTCACCCAGGTCAGGTGGCACCTATCAGATGAGCCCCCTGGGAGCCCAGCTCTCCCAGGAAGCATGGACACACAGTGACCGCTGCTGCTGGGCTCCAAGGGCCATATGGCTGGTGCCCAAGTGTGCATGCATATGGCAGAGACAACTTCTAAAATCCAAGCTGACCCACAAGAACAGGTGACAGGCAGGCGTGTCCCACGCCCCCAAGCAGGTCCCTCGAGCTCAGCCTGCGTGTTAGGGACAACAAAGGTCCTCCCACTTCCTGCCCAGTTTTCTGTGGGGACCCCAGTGTACTCCAGGCAACCAAGGTTGGCCACGCCCATTGATGTCTTCTCGCTGACCCAGCCCCCCCAGCCAAAGTTTGGCCAGGGACACTCCCTCCTAGCTGCCTTCCCCACGCGTCTCTTGGTCCCTGGAGCCCGACCTGCTCGGCACACCTCCCTCAGAGTCCTCAGGTCTGCCCTGCCCAATGCCCCTAGTTCCTAGAATCCCTTCCCTCCTCTGTGCCGGGGGCCAGTCCAGTGGGCGGGAAGGTGGCATGGACAGCAGGATCCTGTGCATCACCCTGGTCCTCAGACCCCTCTGCACCCCGCCTTGCTGGCCTGGCTGGGTGGGCAGGTGGGTTGCTGGAGGCCAGAGCCTGGAGGCACTGCCTGAGTGGCCTCTGTCCCCAGGTCCCTGTACATCGGCCTGCAGATCTCCCTGGACTACTGGTGGTGCAGTAACATCCTCCTGCAGGGTGTGGATGAGGTTTGTGCCCGAGCGCCCCTCTTCTGCCCTGTTCATGGGGCGTGGTGGTGGTGGCCCTGGCTGAGAGGTGGCCCACCGACCCCACCCCAGACCTTCCCCATGCCTGTGGTCAGAACAGCCCGAGGTACCTGGAGGTGATGTCTGCATGTCACCAGCGGGCAGCTGATGCCCTGGTGGCCGGGGCCATCAGAAACGGGGGCCTCTACATCAAGCTGGGCCAGGGGCTATGCTCCTTCAACCACCTGCTGCCTGCTGAATACATCAAGACCCTCCGTGTGCTGGAGGACCGGGCCCTCCCACAGGGCTTGCAGGAGGTGAGCAGCAGGGGAACACGGGCTGGAGGGGCCAGGGCAGAGCTGGGCAGGCAGGCAGGCAGGGGAGGGCCGGAGGTGTGCAGTGGCAGGATGAGTGGGTAGTCCGGCCAGCAGGTGGGGTGGGTAGGCCTTACCCAGGTGCCCTGGCAGGTGGATGAGCTGTTCCTTGAGGATTTCCAGGCGCCCGCCCACAAGGTCTTCCGGGAATTTGACTACCACCCATTGGCGGCAGCAAGCCTGGCCCAGGTGCACAAGGCCCGACTGCAGGACGGCACTGCTGTGGCCGTGAAGGTGCGGGGGCAGGGCCTCAAGACTGGGGCAGCAGGGAGGACAGCGTTGGGGACACCAGGCCCGACACCACCTGCCTGTCTGTCCAGGTGCAGTACCTCGACCTGCGGGACCGCTTTGATGGCGACATCTACACGCTGGAGTTGTTGCTGCGCATTGTGGAGATCATGCACCCCAGCTTTGGCTTCAGCTGGGTCCTCCAGGTGCCGTGGCCAGGCTGTGCAGACTTTGGCCAGTGGAGGGCTGTCCACACTAGCCTGACACCCCTGTGGCCCCTAGGACCTGAAGGGGACGTTGGCACAGGAGCTGGACTTTGAGAATGAAGGCCGCAACGCGGAGCGCTGTGCAAAGGACCTGCAGCACTTCAGCTATGTTGTGGTGCCCCGCGTACACTGGGACAAGACCAGCAAGGTGGGTAGGATGGGGGGGTGGGGGGG